CTGCTTTGGTTAAAAAGAAATCCAAATCGCGGTATGACTAAACCTGTTCCTGACGAAGGAAGCTCAGGACAGAGTTATATGTAGGTAGACCTGGGTGACGCTCCGCTTTCTAGTAAAGGGCTTAATTTTATTGTTAGATTGATGTAATTCACCTAAATTTTAGCTGCATCGACAAGCAGAAAGCCACTAAACGATCAAAACAATTCATGCATGAGAGAGACGTACCTATATATGCTTAGACGAGCTTTGACTCAGCAGCAAATCTATTTCCTTACTCTGTGAACAAATAGAACAAGACAAGCTTTGACTTGCAGCAAATCTATTTCCTTACTCTGTAAACAAATAGAAGACGTGTAAAGTAAAGAACAGAATTCCATGAGAAAATCAGCAAATGCCAAAACACATTTGCGTTTTACTGAATGCAACCAAAGTTCTTGAAAATCATAAAGTATAGGCGCCTCCTTTTAACCCGTTAAAACGTGCATGATTCATGTAAAATATACAGACATTCTTCAGGTACTGAATTGCTCTGACACGCTATGGTTCCCATGACAACAACTTGTCACAGGAAGTGTTACCTCGTAATGGCACTTTTGTAAACAAACCAGCCTGGGTGGCTAAGCTAACCTAGCCTAGCATCAAGTTAACTTAGGCTAAGCTAACCCAGCACTAAGCTAACTTAGGCTAAGCTAACCTAGCTTAGCATCAAGCTAACTTAGGCTAGGCTAACCTAACCTAGCTCCCATCCAACATAGGCTAAGCTGAATAACCCCCACAGTTAACAGTTAGCATCATTTGCGTAAACCCTTACTTACCGCTCGTGTTCCACAGTGCAAAGTATTCTAGAATACTTTCTCAACACCAGTTAGGGTTTCAAATTACTCACTTTCCATGTTTACCATTCTTATTAGCTAAAGTTTACCTTCACTGGGTTAGGAATTACTCCTTGCTAACCGTTAAGGACGAACTTCGCAGATGCCTTGTTAATTAAACTTAAGTTTAACTACATGAAAACTGGTGAAATGTGGTTTTGAACACCCAACAGCTACAACCCACTATAATGTTGATCAAAGCAAATCCAAAGTTTAGTCACTAATGCCACTGAATATTCTCGACTTCAGATCATTCCCGTGTTTTGATCATTTTATTTCCTTTTGCTTTAATCTTAATTTTATTTTTCCTCAGTAATTATTTCATTCCTTTGACCTTGATAATAATAGCAAGCAGCTATTCCCTTAAGTCATCTATAGGATTTAATTTCATTTCCTCTCTTGTCCGAGTGTGGTTCCATTCCCCATAGGGCCCAGAAAGGAAACAGAGACACCCTTATTTGTTATTTTGGCTTAGTTTCAACCAATGCACTCATTTGTGACCCTGCAACGCAAGTAATTTCAACAATTTACTAGGGCACTACTAGAGTCCTGAGGGTCGATAATAAGCAGAATTTAAATAAGAAAGCTGTCCTTTTCCTTTTATTGTTCACTTCGTCGAGCCATAGTGGACCACCAGCTAAGTCCAGAGAAATAATTTAGTCATAAGGACTAGGGATGCACCGAAATGAAAATTCTTGGCCGAAACCGAAAAAACCGAAAAAGAGGAAACCAAGGCCGAAAACCGAAAACCGAAACACCGAAAGAAATTATGCCAATTATTAGTATCATTGTATTTATGGCTATGACTGTGCAAACTTTACTAAAATCAAGGCATTGCAATTGCATAAATTAATATAACATTTTCAAAGAATAAATCAATTACAAATTATGCAAATATATATTTAGCACAATGCACAGTATAAAATAAAATTCAAACTAAAATGTTTAACTTGACCCCACTCATGTGTGCACTAAATAATAATCTACTGGCCTGCAGAAAGGTTTTAAAATGAAATGTTCTCTCAAAAACAAAGCCAACCGCAAACTTCTCATCACTAGCACCCAGTTTGCAGGTCTAAATTAGTTACATTTTAAAAAATGTAGCACACAATAGCATAAAAAGCCTTTTTAAATGAACAATGGTCCATGTTTAATACAAATGTACATGAAACTTAATGAAACATTTTTAGTGAATGTAGAAAATATTTAAGAGAGCATTAATTTAGTTCTATACATGTTCCCATATACATATTTTTTTTTTGTAATGTCACAAGTAATAATCTCAGGGTTTACTGGGTTTTACTTTACATGATTATTTTTGTATTGGTGGTGGAATACTAAAAAATAAACATTGTCATGTATTTATCTGTCTTCTTCTCGCCGATTCCTGATGGTTAGAGGACAGTTGCTTGAGTCGTCCCCTGTCGTTTCAAGGAATAGTAACAGTTACAACGGAGAGCGCGTCAAGTATAAACGCCTCGACCGTTTGGAGCAGTGCACGCGCTGTTTGTGGAGACTCGCGCTGCCTTGTTTACTTTCGCCTGCCTCCGCAGCGCGAGTCTAATTTATAATTTTTAATTGTTTCCTGCTCTAAACAATGCGTGCCGCCATGACGACGACTCCGGTTCCGAGCGGGTCAAGAGCGGTGCGCTCGCTGTCTGTGGAGACTCGCGCTGCCTTGTTTATACTTTCGCCTGCCTCCGCAGCGCGTGTCTCCACAGACAGCGCGCGCACCGCTCTTGACCCGCTCGGAACCGGAGTGGTCGTCATGGCGGCACGCATTGTTTATAGGTGGATAAACAAGGTTTCCGTCTCATCGCGGGTTCAGATACACTGAAATACGTCCACACCGCAGACATGTTGCTTCAGACAAGCACGTGCAGGTCGTGGTTTCTGTTTGCGTCATCACAACATTTCGGCCGTATTATTTCGGTGATAAAAGTCTTTCGGACGAAAACCGAAAATGCACTTTTGGGCCATTTTTGGCCGAAAATTTTCGGCGGCCGAATATTCGGTGCATCCCTAATAAGGACCACCTTACGTTATTTATTTCATCTCGGATATGTCCTTTCCAGGAAATACTCTCGGAACCACACAAGACTTAGCCCTAACATTCACAGCTAAGATAAGGACACAAGAGACACTTAGCTTTATGCTAAACACTTAACTAACTTATTAAGCAGTAGTTCTGAACTTTTAGGGCCATGCATTAGTCACTCACAACAAGTGTGCCAGAATGCCACAGAGCCCCTGCTTAACCCGACCTCAACCTTCCAAGGAACCACTGCCCCAAACCACTGCATGGCTCCAAAAAGGATGCAACAAAGCTAACCAGAAAGGTCCCAAGATTCACTCAGAACCCTGCATCTACCCAAGACATGCAGACAAGACTTTCACTTGCAAACTGTCTAACCAACATGACTGCATGAAACAGATTCTGCTTGATATGGATTACGTCCAGTCGTGAGGTGCACAGCTTCCTAGATCGCCAAACAGAGACTGTCAAAATGGACTATCAGCTGTTGCAATAAGCTTTGATCGCTTAACTCCCTCATCCAGAATCAGACCAAGGGTTATACTGTGAGACTGTGTAAAAAAAACCCTCAAACTAACCTGTCTCCGAGCACGACTAGAGCTACCTCTAAAGGGCACTAGCTCAAACATCACGCTAAGGTTAGCCCAACTCTTCGAAAGACTCACTGCTAAAGCTAAGAGTCAAGAACGCACTCTCAAAGCCCAAACATGTGAGCTGAATGAAAACCCTACAGCCAAAACAACTTCTGGCTCAAAACAGGTAGCTCCCATTCACCCAACAATTGGTCCTATGAGCCTGATTCACCCAGTGTACCGATCACAAACGATCACGTACCCACTTCTGATTGCCCAATATCCGTGAGATCGCTTTGAGCCTTTAAATAGACTTTAAACAACCGAATGTCTGAGCTCAAGTTCAAGAACCCCTCCCCCTCCAGTCATACAGGTCAAGAGAACCTAACTGGCAGGCCACAGAGGTCACAAGAACTCCCTCAGCCAGCCATAAAGGCACAGCCTCAGTACCAAATGGAGATGTGAACTTGCTACCTTGCACCTTTCAGCTTACCACAGACTTTGACTAACCAAATGAACTCTGAGACTACCACCTCTCTACCCCTCCGACCTCCCAAGCCTGCCGTCGAACACAACACCAGGCAGCTCACCAAGCACATGCTGCTCAACGGCCCTACACCTCAGTTTCATGCACCTCGTGACATCACTTCGCCACGGCTTGTGCTGCCACGGTGCAAAAAGGGGGATATGCCAGTGTATGCCCTGTCACGCACCATGTGGGCTGCACACCGCAGCACCAGGACATCTCGGCATCCTCAAAGGCATCAGACTGTCCCAGCCGACAGCCACTGAATTCTTTCCTCCCTTTCTCTCTCTCCCCTGTCTCTGTTACAGGATGCTGCTGTGGTCGTCTTCCTGTGCCTCCAGCCAACCAGAGGACAGCTACTGTCGACCGTCTCACCGCCGGGTCCGACATCAGGCAGCATATGGTCGACTGCCACGCAAGCAGAGCTAAATGGACTCCCACGCCGCTGCTGTCAGTACGCAGTCAAACACCGGCCTGTCCAGCAACAAAACGAACTGAAATCCCACAGCCAAAAGGTAACTCACAACACAGAGGGCCTCCTCACAGACCATCAAGAAATTGAAAGGAACTGTGATAAATCCGCAACGCTCACAGCATTCTACTAAACCAGACAAGTGAGTTCCAGCGAGACAACTGTTCACTGTCTGCCAGAATGACTTTGCTAAAATTCACCAAGCAGCCTTTGCTCCAAGACCCGAGCTACCCTGCTGCGACCGAGCCTGAGTCAAGTCCCAGCCGTGACGAAACCCACGATTTCACCCTGATTCCAGAACTGGAATTATGAACGATGAAAGGAGGGGCCCAGCCAAACTGGACTTGTTCCCAGTGACATAGCCCTCCCAGCTGTGTCTCGACTGCACACCTGTTGCACTGCACTGCACAACTGCATCACCGGTTGTCCAATCCTGGACCGCAGCTGATTCTGCACTGGGTACCTCTACGGTAATCAACCACACCCTGACACTTGACATCCACGCTGCACCAGAGGCAAGGAAATGCAAACCTCCACAGCCACCACGGGACCCTCAGGAAGAGGGTACGACTGCGTCAAACCTCAGCAAGCTGAGCCCCTACCTCAGCCTAGCCGCCGCCTGCCACCTGACCCTCACGATTTACCTGCCATCCGTCCATTGCGATGGTGTTGTTCGATGAAGTTCACACAAGGACTTCACCTAACGAAAAGAGGGAGATGTAAGGATTTTGGCCAGGCGAATCAACCCCCCCCCCCCCACACACACACACACACACACATTCATCCACCTACCCCAGTGGCATCGAGTTACAAGACTTTTATGGGACCAATAGAATGTGGCCAAACGAATGTCTCTGAACAAAGAGAAATACATCTCTTTTGGTTTTAAAGACATTTAACAAAGGTATTCAATGGTTTTATGTATGTGTGTTCTTCCCTCATGTCACAGTGAAATAACTTGTTTGGTCACAGCATAAATAGAAATTAGAAATATCTTCTTCATGCATCATAAACATAAGTGTATATTCCTTTGATGTAACATAATGTTCTTTGATGTCTCCAGAATGCTTATGGAATGAAACACCCGAATATGCATAGAGATGTAAAGTAAAGTGTATTTTTAATTTGTTTTACTGCCAATGAAGACTAGATTGTTTTACTATAAAACCCTCATTGAACACACCCCCTTCAGGAGCGCGCTGAGGAACAAAGGAACGCAGGAGCGCGCGCTGAGGAACAAAGGACAATAAACCAAGAGTTCCCACGAGCAACGTCCATCTCCCCGATTGGCTCAAGCCAACAGGAAAGGGATGGATTCCGCCAAGGAGATAAAAGGAGCGCGCAGGCTCTGCCTCTTGCCTTCCTATTCTGACCGTCTCAGAGAAACATGTAACGCTCGCGTAACTGATCCGACCATGGATCTTTTCTTTTGTTCGCCTAAAAGTCTCGTCTTTTCCTCAAATGGACTACCAAGTTCGTCTCCCAGGAAAGGAAGTGGACTTTGCCGAACTATTTCCTTGGGTTACGTCACCTCAAAGACTTTAAGCCTTTCAAACACTCGCGCTGAATGCCAACAAACGCCACGTGACTCCCCACGGAACAAAGGAGCCATGCACACGCCGGGACGGGCCGCGCAAACACGCTGCGGCCGCACTCCACGTGACGCACGCACGCAGGACAGCACCTCCAGTCGACACGTGGCCCGAACGGGCCGAGCAACGAGCCCGCGACTCACACAGACCAAATATGCCCTGCAAGTATACCTTCTTTTAGAGCTTCTAAAAAGCATTAACTCTTTCCCCGCCAAACACGGAATTTTCCGGGTTTAATGAAAAAACGCATCTGCGCCAAACACGGAATTTTCCGGGTATCCGTGTTTTAGGTGGTATACGGTAAGGAAGACCCGCGCGCATGTCCTGAATGAGTTCGCAACTCTTTGATCAGAGAAACAGATTGCAATCGTCTCAAACAGTGGAGTAGTGAGAATGTATCAGACAGACAATGCAGAGGTATATGGCTGAAGTACTGGAGGTTAATGGACTCGGAGTCCGATCACTCTTTATTTGATAATTCTGAATCTGATCGGGACGAAGTAGTCAGTGAGAGAGATGCACATGTTGTCACAGAAAGTTCTAGCCATGGACGTGCCGCAGATAGATCGTATAATATTATGACACTATAATATGTATGTGTGTGTGCAGGCATTTATGTGTGGCTGTCTAAATATGAAGGTGTAATTGTCAAATTATTTCTCTCTTTGTGCACATTTACCACATTGTAATATGTATTTGTGTGTGTGTGTGAGTGTGTGTGTGTGTGTGTGTGTGTGTGTGTGTGTGTGTGTGTGTGTCTGAGAGATGAAGGAAAAGAGGGAGACAGAGAAAGAGTTCACCTTTTCTAGTTCTGACTAGCTATTAAACCAGAAAGTGAGTACAATTACAACATACACTTTTAGAGATCTTATTTGTAACTGTCATCCCCACCAGTGGACCTGTAATAGAGGAACTGCATTTTTAAAATACCCGAGAAAGACTAATCAAATACCTTAATAAATGGCTGACCATCTTGGTGAACACTAGTTAAGAATATATGCAAGCTGGGGTTTGTAAGGTAAAAAGGTGTGAAACACACTGATAATAATTAAGATTATAAATAGGGTCAACACCTGTAGAGATACCAGGATCAAAATATTAGTTTTGCAACACCAAGGCCATATGAAGAAAGCCTAAAGAGAAGATAGACATCCAATGAAAGTTTGGCAAATATAATGAAGGATTTAGTGTAAGACACAGGGACTGATGAATGGATAAAGAAAGGGAAGCCCTGAGAAAAGAGCTGAAAAAGATGTATTTCTGAAAGCAAAAGACAGACAATCAAAGGTTAACTCAAAAATTTGCAAATCAAAAATTTCTAATGATTGGTCACATACACTTTTCAATTGGCCTAATTGGGTTTTTATGAATTTAATTGTATCAATTGTGGCAAAAGTCAAGTGTTCAAAAACAGTTTACAAAGAGATCAAGTAGGATTGGTGAATTCTGCAAATCCAGTCAGAATTAAAAATAGGCTAGTTTCAGAATTACAGAGAAAACACCAATAAAAATAATTGATAAGAAATTAATTTGAAAGAAACTACTAAAATTGAATAAATGTTAGTTGACCGGTCTATAGGGAAATTAAATTAATAAGCAGGCCTAACAGGGATTGATATGGTAGATTGTGAAAAACCAACACATTCTCACACCCCAACTCGTCACATATGGACACTTGGGCAGGACCCCTTGGCGTCATTTATTGACGCACTGGGTATATACCTTTGTCGTCATTTTTCAACGTGCAGGGTAGTCCGATAGACTCCTATAGATATCTCAACCGGAGCCTGTAGTGTTGAAATTTGACGTCTTGGGTAAGCTCACCACAATGGTCTGCTGCGAATGGGTCGAGAGTCGAGACTGCAATAAAAATGAATAGGCTACAATAAATGATCTATGCCAGGGCTAGTGGTGGTGATCCAACTGTTTCTACATGTTTAAAAACCCTCACAATCTGATTTCAAAGTGCCCTCTCCGCAAAGGTTTAACGGGTTCATATGCAACCGCATTCATCGGTGAGTTTAACAACGCTCATTAGGTGCGTTCCATTCAACAGGGTCCCTACGCAGTGTTCACTGCTCCCTACTCCCTGAACACGGTATATCAGTTGAAGTGGACTTCACTGACTTCCTGTGAAGTGATGTATCGATGTTCCCTTATTCCCTATGCCGTTTGCAGTGCCCTTCGAACTGAACATGTTCGTTCCCTTCGAATTGGAATCTCACTTAAGATGGCGAAATACCCTGTGAAGTCCACTTCGCAGTCCACTTACGGTCGAATGGAACGCACCTATTGTGTTGTACAACCATTCATCGGTGAGTTTAACAACACTCAACTGCAGGTAAAGCGGCATTCAGAGGGAGTTTAACCAAATCAACGCTAAACTGCATGTAGAACGGCATTCAACGGTGAGTTTAACAACGCTCCACGGCGTGTGCAAGTAAGCAGTTTAAGCGTTTTCTTGTCGAAGGTTAACGTTACTGGCATCCATGATGTACACGTGCTTTAGAGCATCCAGGATGACGTATTTTTATCGGAGTTTTGTTTATGTTAATAAATATATATATAATGTTTATATAAAATTTATAATGTTTTTAATTTAAATTTGTATTTTTTTTAAATCATCTAAATTAATAACGCTGACGTCACTGTATGGGGCGATCCCGAGGTCCATTGCGATTTTCCACTCGGTAAGTAGAAGAGTTACTTAATAGAGATGGATACTATTCTTAAATGTACACATCAAAAACTCTTGAATTAGGACAAGAAGTTGTGTTTAGAACCTTTAGATGTGTAAGGTGGCAATTTATTTTGACAGTAAATGATGGAAAGAGACAATATGAAAATATAGCTTGATGCTGCACCAAATGTGCAGGCCAGCAAAGTTAGTTAATTGAATTCAAGTTTTTGTCAAATTTTGTTGTTTATAATCCTATGAAATAATCATGTAAGGCAATACTAGTGGAGATTTTAAGGTTTTCAGTATTACATTAGCACATAACTGTTATTCAACATTATAAATGTTCAGATGAAGAACAGTGTTGCCAGATTGGTTTGTTTTACAGCCTATTTGTTTAAAATCCACGCAAAATTATATAATTAACACCCAAACAAATCTATAATTAACTATTCAAATGTATTCATAACTACTACATTTTGGCTCATCACAATTTTTCAATATGAAATAAAACAATTAATATGTATAATTAATGTAATAAGTAATTATATCATAACTTATTGACTGATTCGTATATGAATTATATATAATTTTAGACAACATTTCTTGTCTAGTTATTTTCTAAAATGTCATTAACAATATTAAATTCTAGTTTATTGAACTGAATACAATGAATATCACATAAAATATAGCCCATTCTGGTAACACAGATGAAGAGAATACTTAAAATGTAAAATGTTCAATTCTGTTTTTTCTTTAGGACCCTCAAAATTGGCAGCTTCTAAAAAGAGTTTTATTCTTTTATTCCTCCCTCCATTGCTCCTGGCCTTTACTCCAGAGACTGTTGGTGTGTACTTCATTGTGTCACCATTAGCCCTTGTATATATATATATATATATATATATATATGATATTTATGACATTTATGACAGTGGGTTAGAATGTAAATAAATGTTTCTACTTTAAACTTTGGTAGAATACTGATCCTTTCACAGCCAAATTGAGTACACTTTAATATTGTAAAAAATAAATATATATATATATACACATACATTGAATGAATTTTTGTAATTGTAAAAAAGTGAATTCTCTGGTGATGAAGCATCACCTCTTGAAACCCCAAGAGATCCTCTTCTGGCTTCCTCAAACTGGAGCAAAAGACAAAGTCTCTTTTCAGAGAGGTGGAGGGCAGAGAGACCCCGCCTGGTAAACACGGCTGCGGAAAGGGAACATGTGGCAACACACATCTGCCAACAGTGTGGGAGTAATCCAGCGGCTGTCCGGTGTTGTGACTGTAGACCACGTCCCTTCTTCTGTGCTGAATGTGACGTCAGCATGCACACCAGACATGTTCTTCACAACAGAGATGCCATGACTGCTGGATTCTTCCAACCATTGCCTCCAACAACTTACGTGGTGGATAAGGCTCTTTCCCATTGTGGTAAGTTCTGGTTAGTGTACAACATATGTTTAATTTTCAGAATAGTTAAGCTCATAAGCTTTATTATTTAAATTATGCCTTTTTTCCATTATTGTTTTATCTTGGATTTATCTTCATTGCCATTGAACTATTACAATCTCAGTCAATACAAATTGATCATAATTCAATTGTACCATATGTTCTTTTTCAGTCCGGCTTGTACCTGTGGAGATGCCTGACAAAATCTGTGGTTGCTCACCAGAGTCATTGTGTCACGCTGTGGAGCAGGCAGAAGATCAGGCAGAGTCCAGATTAACACGAAGATTACTTTAATTCCAAAAACAGGCAAGAAGAAGGTAAACAGGTGCAACACAGGGTACATTCAACATCGACCGACAAAGACTGACTAAAACAGAGGGAACTAAATACACTGAAGAATCAAACATAATGAGGTGAAGACAGGTGAAACAGATGAACAGGACGCTGAATGGGAGGCTGATGAGGGAGTGAGTTCAGGTGTGCAGACAAGAGGATCATGGGAAGTGTAGTGCTGGAGACGCAGACAGGATGGTGCAGACGAAGGGCTGTGACAGAACTCCCCCCTCCCGGGAGGCGTGACCTCACGCCGCATAACAGAGGAAGGAGGGGGGACGAACTGGGGGCTGGGCGGGGCGTGGCCAGGGCGGAGCAGGCTGAGGGCGTGGCCAGGGCGGAGCAGGCTGAGGGCGTGGCCAGGGCGGAGCAGGCTGAGGGCGTGGCCAGGGCGGAGCAGGCTGAGGGCGAGACCAGGGCGGAGCAGGCTGAGGGCGAGACCAGGGCGGAGCAGGATGCGGGCGAGGCCAGGGCGGAGCAGGATGAGGGCGTGGCCAGGGCGTCCATGGTGGTGAGGTCCCTTCGGGCGGCCATGGCGGTGAGGACCCTTTAGGCGGCCACGGCGGCAAAGACCCTTCAGGCGGCCACGGCGGGGAAGACCCTTCAGGCGGCCACGGCGGAACTGAAAGGCCGAAGAACCATGGCGCCAACGAAGTCCTGGCACGCTGAAGCCACGCCGTAGAGCCACGGGACCGAAAAGGCGACGCGGGGACGGGTGACCGGAGTGACGATGAGGCGAGGGAGGCCGACGGGGAGACCAGAGGAAGGGAGGAGTCCAGGGATGCCGAAGGGGTGCAGGGTGAGGGTGCAGCCCGAATCCCGGAAGCCCGTGGCTGGTACTGGGCGTCGAGCAACGAGGGCCGACCTGGCGTGGCGCTCGAGCCCAGCGGAGCTTCCGGGCAGACGGACTGCGGAGGCGATGAGGGAGTGGTGGGTCTAGGTGAAGGCGGAGGGCTGACAGGGTGAGATGAAGGTGTGGGCTCTGAGGACAGAAGTGTAGACCTGAACTCGGCCTTACCGAAGGGGCTTGAGTGAGCAGAGGGGATGACCAGCAGTGGTGGATGAACAGTCCAAAAGTGATGGTTAGGAGGAGGTGGGAGAGGGGTGGGAGAGGGAGGCTGGGAGGGACCATGGTCTCGGGCTCTGGCTGGACGGTCTCCGGCGCGGGCTGGACGGTCTCTGGCGCTGGCTGGACGGTCTCTGGCGCTGGCTGGACGGTCTCTGGCGCTGGCTGGACGGTCTCTGGCGCTGGCTGGACGGTCTCAGGCGCTGGCTGGACGGTCTCTGGCGCTGGCTGGATGGTCTCTGGCGCTGGCTGGACGGTCTCTGGCGCGGGCTGGGACACTGGGCCCCCCCCCCCAAACATATTTGGGTAGGGTCCCCAGATGAAGGGCAGATGAGAAGTGGACGGTCTCGGGTTGGGTGAGGCTGGGCGGGACCAGCAGAGGAAAGAGCTCGGGCTCGGCGAGGCTGGGCGGGACCAGCGGAGCGGGGAGCTCGAGCTTTGCCTGGCTGACGGTGAGCTCAGGCTTTCGGGGGACCAGAATCAGGCGGGGTCGCCGAATCGGGTCGAGCATCCCCCGAAAAGTCACTGCGGTCATGTTGCAGTTTGGTCGGTCGATCTGTCACGCTGTGGAGCAGGCAGAAGATCAGGCAGAGTCCAGATTAACACGAAGATTACTTTAATTCCAAAAACAGGCAAGAAGAAGGTAAACAGGTGCAACACAGGGTACATTCAACATCGACCGACAAAGACTGACTAAAACAGAGGGAACTAAATACACTGAAGAATCAAACATAATGAGGTGAAGACAGGTGAAACAGATGAACAGGACGCTGAACGGGAGGCTGATGAGGGAGTGAGTTCAGGTGTTATCATAAATTGTTATCCATCACCAATTGTTGTTTTTTATTTTTTTAGATCTGAGGAACAGGCCATCTTTGAAGACGTCTTCATGGCCAAGGATGAAGACGTGAAAAGATTTGTGGACCACATTCACAACACAACCAAACATGTAAAATTTTGTAAAACCTCTTTCCGAAGAGTTTGTTTATGAGAGTCTTATTTTCATCCACCATTTTTCTTATTTTAGGTCAGTGGAAGAGGTGTTTGTGGAGGTGAGTGGTCAGCAGCCAGAGAGACCTCACAAAGATCTGCCAGCAAGGTAGACGAGGAGGGATTGGAGCTTGCGGTGTGTCGGCACGGTGTCCTGCCTCTGCCTTAAATATGTATAGGGGGGAAATGTTTGCCCTGTACCTGCAAGAAAAGCTGGCCAGTAGGCAAATCACATTTTTTTGCATGGATGTGACCTGAAAATATTGGCCCTACCTCCAAAGAGTTGCGAAAAGCTGTCCAGAGCTCCAGCACCTTCTGAACATGAAGCCTTTCCTTTCGGTATTTCATGCCAAAGCCCATGATTTTAAATGTGAGGTAAGGAAATGTTGCTATGTGATATAATTGTATTATCTAAATCTACAAACATCTGTTTTTTTTTTGTTGTTTTTTTAATTGTTTTTTTTTATTATTATTCTTAACCAGGTGAAATGCAGTGGGGCATATCAGGATGGGGCTGGTCTAACACTGGGGGAGGAGGTGGAACAGTGCAATGCCTTCCTCTCTAGGATTGCAGTGACCACAAAACATATGTCAAAAGCAGGTAAGGTGACATACTGCACTAGGTACATCCTTATATACTAATTTGGAGGAATATGGTAACATCTTATTTTCTGTCTTTTTGCAGGACGCACAGACATGCTCACTCTCATGGCCATGCGCTGGAATCAGCAAAAGGTTAACAATTTGGCAATCTCACTGACCCGCCGATATCAAAAGGTAATGACATCAGTAGAATTAATTTTAGATGTTCAGTATTGCATGTTAGCAGTGTATGAAGCTGTGCATCGAACATTTGGTTCTTGTTTCTTACTACTGTTTGTTATTGTAGACCACAAAATCTCTGCAAAGCCAGTTACAAAACCTAGAGACCATGAAAGCCCAATTGACAGCGACAGCGAGCCAATTGAAAGACTGGGTGAATGATGTAAAGGATTGGGCTGACGGTAAGGAAATGATTACTTGTAATACATTTAGTCACAAATAATTGTAATTGTTACTGGTATTGTAAAGTGCAAACCACACCTGTTTCTTCTCAGCAGCAACAACAGCAACAACAACTACGAATGATGCTGATGCCCTGGCCAGCAGAATTGAGGTGCTGGTAGCCAGTATCAAGAGACGTTCCCAGCGTCTCTATAAAGATAACGATGGCAACAAAGGTCGAGCCAGAATCCACCGCAAGATCAGGGAGGAGAAGGGAATCCTGACATCTGTTGTGGAGAAATACAACAGAATGGTTCCAATCACAGAAACTCTTTGCCTAGAAACCATTCTGTCTGGTGAGACAGCTTGGCCATGGCAGCTCCCACACAGTGGTATGTACACTAGACTGTTGACTGCTACTGACAAATCTGATACATAATGACTTCAAATGTTATTCTGCAACCCCATACTATTTTTGAGGGTCTTTGAAGGTTGATGTTTAAAACTAATGATTTGTTTATGTATCATAAATGCATTCCAGACTCTGTCGATCTAAGGACAAAGAGAAGAGCTTTTGACATCATCATGTCAGTAAGGAGGCTTGAGGAGGAGCAGAAGATTCTTGTTGCAGAGATGGACCACCATTGGAAATCTCTCTCAGCTCGTTCTGATACCCTCAGAGAGCTGTCCTGCTTATTTTCAAGTGAGACACTCTATATTATGTATTTGTAATAAATTACATAACCATAGTAGCCTGGGAAAACCCATACAACTTCCGGCAAATTTAGATTTGCTCTGAAAGTTAGTCTGGCAAAGAGCTCATTCAAGCTCATTTCCAATCCGTCGAAATCGCGGCACCAATCAGAAACGTTGGGGTGGGCTTTACACGATGACAACAGCGCTAGGATTTTGAAGCAGATTTTGTAGCCTACATTATAAAGTTGGGTGCCGCTGTCAAATCACTCGTTCGAATCCGCTATCGTGTCTGTTTTAAGCGATTTGAACGTTTCCTTTGTGTTAAAAACCGAGCAAAGAACAACACTCGGAGATGTTTCTCCACCGCTCTGCATACGTCATCTCCTTCATCACTCTGATTGGTTTTAGGTCTATCCGCGATGTCCGTTGGTGACGCCCCTCTGGAAATGATTTGTCTATGATGCTTTGCCAGACCATAACTCAATTATGAATGAATGGTCTGGTTTCAACCAGGCTATAGCCATAGGGTTGCACCGACAAAAGATTGCCCTAATAAGGGGGCCCTAATAAATATACACACAACAATAATGACTGTAATAACGTTTCTAAGGCTGGTATTATATTCTTGTGTTCCTCTTTTAAGATTCACAATGTGATCTAAGTGGAGAGGGTTTGAAAGGTCTGCACAGCATCATCCTCAGAAAGCGGCATCAAATCAGAGAAATTAAGGTGCAAGCAAGAGACTGTTACCTCCAAGTTTTGTCTGGAGCAGAGAACGTCTCGGTTACGGATGTAACCCTCGTTCCCTGAGTTCCCTGAGTTACGTCAGAAGTAATGGAGATTGGGGGTTTCGCATAGAAAGCCAATCCTCTTCGAGTATTTAATCACGAGCCAATGGCATGCAATGCCTTGGGGCTGCGGAAATTTGCATAGCGTACTCCGCCCTACTCCGTGAGTATAAAAGGAGGAAGTGAACGCAACCGCAGTATGTCTTTGCTGAGGAGCCAAGACTGAACTCAGGCGTCTACCCAGCGGTACAGCAGAAGTGGCAGGGAGACGTAACGTCTCCGTTCCCTACTCAGGGAACGAAGGTTACATCCGTAACCGAGACGTTCCCTTTTGTAGTCACTTCGAGTTACGTCAGAAGTGACGGAGATTGGGGGTCAATGCCATCACGCCTTCCAGTGCCCTGCGAAAGTCTAGACCCCTGAACCTAGGTATCACC